GGTCCCCACACGTGCCAGCAACTGCCTGAATAACGATACTGATTCTACTGAATGAGAATCTCGCGTGATCTATAAAGGGCCAACATTTTGCGCAGTGTTGTTGAAATCCATGTAAAGACTATGGCATGGTGGAGGCTGCATATTGCTGGTGCAGTGCAACCGAACTGACTGAGCATATAAACAGGATGATGGTGAAAGGCTTGCTTGGTACTTGAATCTTTATATCTCTCTTACTATATCAGATCAACTTATACTTCAGTCATTACAAAGCGGTGCCATTTTATGATTTATTAAAAAAAGTAAAAATACAACTGACGTTAAAGGAATTGACCATCATTCTCAGTAGAATAAGATTTATTTTTATATTCCCACTGTTACATTTTTGACATATCCTCATGTTAGCCCCATTATAGATATTGTATAATGTGATACTTTTTCATAGGACCATCTAATTTTATGCCTTTTTAGGAATCTGTATAGGCAGATGTCTTTATGTAGTATTGTTCCTGAGTGGGTTAAATATATACTGCATGGCTACATTAATATTGTAACAGGATGCATTTTCCGAGTCTAGTCTATAATTAAAGGGATCGTGCGGTCACCTTCAGAGGCTTATATAGGTTGTAATATTCAGAATGTGAATCAGGAGATATCTATAATTTTTTTTAATTTTTTTTTTTTTTTTTTTGTAACCTTTTAATCTTATCGATAACATTCAAGGGTTAAATAACTCATCCCTTACATTCAAGGGTTAAATAACTGCTCTCTGGGGCTGCATTTCAGCACTTATCAGCACTATTGTGAAGTAGTGTATCCATTCAGCATATAGCTAATTATAGAGCCATTCAAGGTGTAATTTATCGCAGTCTTCTCTGCCATTATCCGTAGCAGAGATTCATTCATGGACTTTCATTACGTTTTACATAGTAAGCATTTTTATACTCTATGGATGCCAAGAGTGAGCATGATTTAATGAAATCCCTTATAAACGCTTGAACAGCTGCCTAGGAGGAATACTGTGCCTCCTTTTTTTTTCTCTCTCCTGTTTCATGAATGGATCACCCATTTTTATGAATTAACCTTGCTCATTATGGTACTTCATAGCGGGTATAATGCTGTCTTGCATGCTCTTAGTTATTGCAACACTGTCTGCATCATGACTATATTTATTATAACCCCAAAGAAAACAAATAGTTATACCATGCATTAGTGTTTCAGTACAATTCATCTCCTTTAATTTGGCATTTATCTAAATTATATGAATTCATCAGAAATCTGTGATACATATGGTATTATAGACTACATAATGCATGTATTGAACAAAAACCTGTACATTCATTGCCACGTCCACCATATGGATGTGTTATTCTGATAAGCATTATGTGAAAATTTGTTTCCTTGCAATATGTAACAATCATATGCTGCAAGAAATGGTCATTAATCAAAGTGATTTCATTTGGACTGCATCTTGATAAATAGCCTATTTCCCTGCTACAGCATGTGAATTCTGCATACTGTTGCGTTAATCTGGCATCATTCAGTATGAAGATGGGTGAGGTGCCCAGGAGAGCATATGCCTGGTTAGATATACATGGACATTTCAGAATTCCAGAGAACACAATTTTAAATGTATAATAGTATTGTGCATAAAACATTCTAAATTTGTTACTAGATTCCCTTTAAGAATGGTTGGGAGCATGTATGCTCCCAAAGTAGCATTTTATGTTTTGGTTTTGTTTAGCTTTGAGTATTGGGCATATATCAGTGTATTTTATAAGCTTTTCTGTGCAACTCCTATCATGTTATCAATGATACGGGTGTGTAACCATTTCGATTACGCAGAAGAATCTATTAAACCCCTTTCATATTCTTCATATGTTTACAGTGCTTTGTACTAAATTATTTCCATTTTCCCCCCCAAAAAATGCAGGTTTATTTTATTTTATTTTTTAAATTTAATTCCCCTTTTCTTTTTGTACAGAAAAGGCAAGACCAGAGTTTAGTGTTACTTTCCTGTGGAAATATCTTCACCTGTACAATTTCATTATTTGTTATGTTTGTCCTCAACATCTGGTTTCCGAAGGGCAGGGCCTAGCAGTCGAAGGCAGTCTCTGACCTTGGTGCAATGAGCCTGCCCTTTTCCTGCAAATGGTGCGATATTTTATCCTTATCAAAGTCTGACAGGTTAGCAGTGACTTGCTAAAAGGATGTACAGGTGTTGAAATCATAGCATATTGCTAGGAAGACCAATTAGGAGTGTGAAATGGTAAAGCTGTTAGCTTTTGAGGTCTAGCTCAGAAGGGAGCGGTCCTGTGTAATTGTAGCTAAACCATTATATCAGAAAGCTACAAGAACAATGCTCTGTTAAAGGATTGGTCCCTTATGCAGAAATACCTGCAGAGGCAGATCTTTAAACTCAGTTCTTCAGTGTTATAAGCCACGATTTGCATTAGCAAGCTCTAAGTGTTGTGATCTTGGTCTATCTGCTACAGACTTTACTCTGGATTATTGTTTCCATCCTCATCTGATGTAAGTCTACTCAATGCGTCAACAACTCTGTTGGCAAAATATACAAATTTCTTTATTTCCCGCAAAAAATGGGGCAGTCTCTAATGACGAGATAAAAAAAAAAAAAATTAATATGTAATTTATTTTGTATTGGAGCATATTTCAGAAAGGTAATCTGACAAAATGTCTTGCATACAATGTAAACTGCTGTTTAGTGTAACTTTTTTATTTTTTTATTTTTTTTTATCCCTTAACTTGCCCATTTGGGTTGAATTGTTAAAGATACTGCATTGCTTAAAAGTTCCCTTCTGTAATATATGGGGTTATTCACTAAATAACACTTTGTGTAGTGAATTGAAGAAAAAAAAACAAAAAAAAACAAAGTTTAAGGTTAAAATGGTTCAGCGGAGTTGGAGATTTTATCAATTGGTGTTATTTGTGTGTGTGGGGTGGGGGGGGGGGTTTCCCTCTACTTTTTCTTCAAATTCTAGTTCTCAATTTTCTAAAACCTGGTTGTTTAGTGTGTTTAAAAAAACCCAAAAAAAAAAGCCCTATGCCATATATTACAGTGCTGTTGAATGTTTAACCTTTTTTTGAGTGAGGTTTGTTTACCTGGGTGAGGGGGCGGTTAAGGACCTGAAGTCTACCACCTGTTGACTGTGATCTCCCAGCAAGTGTCTGACTGTGGCTGAGAATGATGGGAGAGAGTATTTCAGAAATTGATTGTTTTCCTGCTCTGCCTGTTTTTAAGAGGTTGACACGTGGAGTCTTATTTGGGGAGGGGAGCAGTGGGGGCTTGCCTGAGCACCCTGCTTTAACAGCTGTGATCGCAGATGTGACTACAGCGGAAGCAGCAGATCATAAAACTACTGAAAGTGTAGTATTTTGAATCACCTGTTTTCTGTAAAACCCAGCACAGTGTGTGTGTGTGTGTATGTATGGTGTGTATATATATATTTTTTTTATATTTTTTTTATTTTGATTTTTTTTGTTAAATAGTGTTTATTTGCCATTGCTGGGGATGTAAACTATAGTTTGTGAAACTGGCATCTCATACTACAAGTTACTTGGGACTGCGTTTTTAAATTAATCAAAAATTGCTTAGATCAGCTGCTGACAACATGTAGATACCTCTAGAATGAAAGCCCGTCTGTGCATGATCCTCATATACCTATTGTTTCTGTAACATTTTGGAACTGTCTCCTTTTTATTGTTAAATTTCTGCCTTTCGTAATACTGTAAAGCACTGTGGGATAAGTTGGTGCTATATACATATCAATAATTATACTAATAGAGTAATTAAATCTTCTCGGTCTCAGCCACTGAGACATGTCTACTTCTAGAATGTATGTCTGCATTAGGGGTCTTGTTTTTCCACCACCTCTGCAGAAATGATCTCTGTTTGTTTATTGCAGGTTATTTAGTCAATTACTCAAAATGTGCATTATTCACTAAGTGGTGAGTTGGGGTCTGTTTACAGTCCACTAGAATATAGTACAAAAAATACAGCATTTTCAGGCGAAAGAGCCCAATCCGTAAGATTATGCAGCATAATTTGTCTTCACCTAACTGACCTATTATTTTAATTTTACTTTTAAGTAGGACTGCGTGGTAGTCATATTTTGTTTGGTGTTTTTTTTTTTTTTGATGTTGCAAATAAACTAGTCTCTGCAACAGTCTGACCTAGCAGAAGGTCTTCTAGAAAAGTAAAATGGTTGGCTGGTGTACATCCGTTTTCATATAAAAATGGCATTAGAAATTGTTTTAGGTGTTTTTTTTTTTTTTTTAGTTCCTAGCATGACTGATGTAATATTTACCCAGTATTTGAAGCTCCAGGAGAACTTTGACTCGTTTTTAGATGAAAGAACAAGTTGTTTTAATTTGAGATCTTAACAAAATACACATTCCTTAATACTGCAAAACATTTAACAATTATTTTTGTAATTCTGTGCCAGTGTCTGTCTTATTAATAAGCTTGTATGTGCTGCCTCTTTAAGTGATTGTTCAAATAGGACTCACAAATAAAAGGTCGATCTGCAAGGAAACTCTACATCTCATAGAAAACAATGTGCACTTTCTAAATTGGAGCCAGGCCGTATCCGCTCTTTGATTTAAGCTTAGTTGCTTCCTGTGCTCTTTTGACTTGCATAGCTGTTGGGTAACTGGATAGGTTCCAATTTTGAACTGCTCTTTCGATGAAATTAGAAACTAAGGGAGTATGGAGTTGGCCATTAGAGGAACTGCAGCAGTTTGTGTATGTTTGTGAAGTTATACTGCAGCTATTTAGCATTCTCATCTTGAATGTTTTTTAAATCTGTTAGATTGGCTAATCAATGCAGAGGTAAATCCAGAAGGGAAGGTCGAGGACATTTGAAAAATATATAATTTTTACACCGTATGCCATGAAACATTCTTGTGCATTCATTACATTCTAACAATGTTATGTCTTTTTTTTTTTATGTAGCGATTTTAGAAGCAAATAATCCAAGATTGGTGCAGAGTGGATCAATGGATTCCAGAATTCCCCATAGCATCACGGTAGTGCCAAGTGCAGTTATGGTACAACCCCTTCTAGACGGCCGCGTCCCTTATGGAAGGTTGCAGCACCCATTGACTATCTTGCCTATTGACCAGATGAAGACCACCCATCTTGAAAATGACTATATTGATAACCCAACTCTTAATCAGCTGACGAATCAGAAGATCAGCAGAGGACTCCATGAACCTATGCTCATCAATCAGCACCTACAAAGGTGTGAAGCTGACAATACACACCCTTGGATATCGTTCAGTGGACGACCAAGTTCCATAAGCAGCAGCAGTAGCACATCCTCCGATCAGAGGCTCTTGGACCACATGGCTCCACCACCGGTTGTGGATCAGTCCCCACCTCGGGCAGTGAGGATACAGCCTAAAGTGATTAATTGTAAGCCTCAGGATGTCAAGGGACAGATCGCTCAGGAACTTGACAAACATTTCTTACTCTGTGAGGCTTGTGGTAAATGTAAATGCAAGGATTGTACTACCCCTCGGACCTTGCCTTCATGTTGGGTTTGCAACCAGGAGTACCTGTGTTCCGCACAAAATCTTGTCAACTATTCCACCTGCATGTGTCTCGTCAAAGGGGTCTTCTACCACTGCACAAATGAAGATGATGAGGGCTCCTGTGCAGATCATCCATGCTCTTGCTCCCAATCAAATTGCTGTGCACGCTGGTCTTTCATGGGAGCCATGTCCTTGGTCCTTCCTTGCTTACTTTGCTATCTTCCAGCCACAGGTTGTGTTAAGCTCTCCCAGAAATGCTATGACCAAGCAAGCCGGCCTGGCTGTCGGTGTAAAAACACAAACAGTGTCATCTGCAAAGCACCAGATGCAGTGGGCAGACAAGAGAAGCCATTTTGATTAATGTACTATGTAATCGTACTTTATGAACTATGCTATAAGAATGCACCGCTCATGATGAGAAAGGAGAGAAAAAAAACCTCACAGTAGGCAGGATGTCACCTGAGGCTTTAAACTAGGATTTCCTGAGGGTATTTGGCAACATTTTACTATTCTAGAGACGAAAAGCAGGAAATGCATTTGTGTAGTATTGCTGTGAACCATCTTCAAATCCTGTGTTAAAGATGTGCGTGCTAACAAATGAACAGAGACCTCGCTAGACAGCCATAGGAATTTTCCTGACACTACCATTGGTATTGTAACTACATCTACCACTGGTAGCAATTTGGTTAAAGAGACAGCCGTGTTTTTGTTATTCTTCACTTAGCGTGGAAGAGTGCCAACTCTCGTTCTTCCGAACATAGCAGTGTCTTTGTTTTTAAACTGAAGGTTCACAGCTCATTAACAACATTGTTACTGTTTTATTGTTCTATCAAGAATTTTTTTGGGTTGTCTTTTATTTTTATTTTTTTATTCAACTTAAAAACTTTATTTGGTTTTCAGCTGGTGATGGTTAAGGATAGGGTTTCAGTCAACATTTTGTGACGTGGTAAAAGTAGGGTTTCAATCACCACTGGTAATAGGAAAGTGTCTTGCATCCCTTTCCGTTTGCTATTATAGTGGTATACAACTCCAAGCCTTGATGGCAGCTCACTGGCCTAGATTTTTTTGATATCTCTATATTAAGGCAAGTTAGCCACTTTACATTAATGGAACTCATCTGTGGTTTTTAAGAAAGTACATATAGGTCTATGTGTGGCTCTCGAAGCATGGAGTTGAGAACTTCTGTGGTGTATGTTCATGTCCATCCACTGTCCACTTTCTTATCCAAATCGTGCCCTCTATTTTTTTTTCGGAACTCTTTAGTAATGAAGGCTTAGTAATGCTTTCTTGAATTCTAAGCGCCTTACCTATTGAATAGTTGATAATTTATCATTTCCAGCTCTGATTACCAGCCTATTTAATCAGGATAATTGTGTGTGGGTTTTTTTTTTATTTTTTTATTTTTTTTATTTTTTTATGGTGTTGGCTAATGGCAACTGCTATAATAAAAAAAAATATGCCTGGAACTGTTGCAGTTCTAGAATTAAGGGGAAATGTCTATCCAGCTATAAGTCAGGGGATATTAGAGCACAATACCTAATTTAAAAAAATAAAATAAAACAAATTTGTGAGCAAATTGAAATATTCATGAAGCCTTTTCGTTCCCTCTGCTGCTGCTGTACCCTGGCTCTATTGTAAAATAGTGTCTGTACATCTGTGTAAATATACAGAGAGATACAAAGATAATGTCTATTTTAGTGTTAAATGAATACCAGGTAAAGTAAGGGGCGCGTGTAAGGAAATTCACCCATGTTTTTGTTTTGTGTGTGTGTGTTTTTTTTTTTTTTTTTTTATTATATAATTAAGTTTTGTAATGCTTGGTTCTTCGCTCACACATGGCAAATTTTAGTATCCCTTAAACACAGTAACAGTTGGTTTTATATTGGTAAGCATTAGGTGCTATTTTTAAATATAATTTTGTAGTTTCTGTATTAAAAGGGGAAATTTCATCGGCATGCAAATATTAATTGTTTAAACTAAAATGCCTTCAGAGTTTTTATATATGTATTTTTTTTTTTTTTTAAATATTTGATTTTTCTGACCCATATGATTTTCAAGGTACAAGATTCATTCATAAATTATTTTACTAGATCTAGGTTTCTTCTTTGCAGTATTTAAGCTTCATTCCAAAATGCTGTTTGTCTTTATGCATTGCTATATTTTGGGTAATACTGCAAATGTGTAAGGAGCTCTCACATGCCTGTGTCTTCAATAGCACTAATGAAAAGTATTGTATTTGCTTCATTTAATTCCCTTTTCAACATTGCTGCATAACTAGCACTTTTTTTTTTTTTTTTTTTATTGTTACATATAGTATATTTATTAGATTTTTTTTTTTTTTTTAAATATATATTTAAGGTTGGAGAGGACATCTTGGTTTTTAATCTTTTGAGTACCAGAGGGGATGAGTAACCCACTTCACCTGTGATACTCCAAGGTTTAAGAAGGTACAAATACATTTCCCACGCCCCCTTTTTTTTATTTTTATTTTTTATTTTCTTTAATGAAACTTTTCCTTTAGGAATGGCCAACCTGATATCTGCCATAAAATGACTCTTTTACCTAAGTATTCAATGACATTATGTGGGTATTTCGAAGTTGACATTTAATTGCTTGCATTCAGTCTAACAATATTAGTGTTTTGATATGCAGAGGATAGCTTATGTATTTTTATATACTCACTCATTTGGAGAGGATGATGACCCAGTTCCTTAACCTGGTTAGCCATAATCTCCCCTTTTTTTTTTTTTTTTTTTTTTTTTTTTTTTTTATTATTAAACATTAACCAATGGAGCCATTCATTGAAGTATATTTAAATACAGACTCTCCAAATTCACTGCTATAAAATTCCAAAACAAAGTATGCAATGCATTTTCAGCTTTGTGAATATTGACCAACGTAATGTCATTCTGCTTATTCATCTACGTGATTAAGATGACATACTTGCAACTTTTAGGCAAAACAAGTGAAAATCTCCCACCACCTTACTTATTTCAGCCTAAATTTAACAAGCCTGTGGTTAAACCCCCTTATAGCTCAACGTGTAGTGACTTGACTCCTGCATTTTACTTTTGGAAATAATTTGAAGTTCAACAACTCAAGTCCAAAATACATTTGGATCCAGTGTTATTACACCTAACAATCGTCTTACAAATACGTTAGTGTGCCAAAATCACGTGTAAAATATATGTTGCTGTTTTTGGAGGGGAGGCTCTGTGAACATATATAATAAGCTAAAAATTTATATAACTGGTCAGGGTCCCATAACAATTGGGAATTATTGAAAATGAATGCTAAAATGCAGTCCTTATCTACACGTATACGCACACATACAGTTATGTTTTGGAGTTGGATGTCAGTGGCAACATAGTGTAATCAATGATCGGTCTATTGTAATTTATTATTCGTGTAGAAGGCGGAATTTATAACTTTTTTTAATTTATTTTTTATCGATAATCGGGGGTGGGGTGGGGAGTGTACACTTTGAGCTAAAGTCCAGAAAAAAGTTGGGGGGTGTGGGGATTTTTATTTATTTTTGTTTTGTTTTTTTTGTTTTTTTTGCTTGTTTGTTTGCTACAGAAGAGGAAGGGTTACTTGTGTGGTAGCCTTTTTAGTGGCTAATAATCTGTTGGTTGTTTTAACGTAAACATAGCTTTATTTCATTTAGTTGGTAATCAAATATGTGTTTGCATTGAATCACGGGTTGGCTCCTTTCACTGAATAGTACAATGAAGGCAAGTTTGCTTGCCTCCTCTGTATAAGCCATGCTGCCACCTCAAGTTAAATAGAAAAAACTACCCACAAAAAACTCACAATTTCTCTTCAATAAAACATAAGCAAGCCTCCTAAGCAGCTAGAGCCCAGGCTTTGGAGTAAACTGCTCTTGGTACTAGTCTTTATTTTAAATTTGGGATGGTGCCCATTATACTAAACTTGCTGCTGCATAGTTCCGCCAAGCACAATCTAGAAAACAATGAGCCTGGTTGCTGGTTTTGATTACAATGGTGTCCAGCTTCATAACATTTTTACTTTGTTGCCTTTTTGTGTACTCATTATATTTGCATTTACAATACAAAATCCATTCTGAAAAGGCCTTTTTGTCAGTAACCAATGTGCAATTTGTTCACAACCACCATTGTTTAAATTTATATATAATATATATATTTTCTTTTCATTTTTTTTTCTTTAAAGATTCACTCCACAGAAGAAATGTATACGCTGATTGTTTCATTTGTATAGAATATTTATTTTGAAGCTCTATTTTAATAGTATTTATTTTAGAAAGTCTACTATTGTAAGAGTTCTTCTGTTTGTGAAGAAAAAAAAACACAAGTTAAAAACTGAATGTACTGATCTAGAAATATATAAATATATATAATTATATATTGTTAAATATACTAACTGGCTCCCGTGTCTTGATTTCATCATTCTTGTTCATTAAATAGGTCCACACTTATTTATTGTTATGCTAATCGGACGCGGACTAAAATATCTTATTTTTATTACCTAGCTCACTTCGGTTAATTGTATTGACCATGTAAAGATGAAGTACTGAACTGGTCCGCATGTGGAAATGAACATTGAACCATCATAGTCTGAGAGTTTAGTATGAAAAGTTCTGGGGCAACATTCTAAAAGTGGAATAGTTGCCATGGAAATCCCTGCTGATTACTCCACATTTAGAACTCTGCATCAGAATGTATTCAGAACATCTGAGGCTACGGGAAGTCCTACAGACCTATGAAAACCGTGTTTTATTTGTGGTATACAGAATCTCGTTAAAGATCTTTTTATACCCCACTTGATCACAGTACAGATGTCAACGTCCTGTTTTAACCTGTAGTAATTTGACATCTTTCAACCATAAGTGGAGACATCTTCTTTTAAAATATTTTCATACTTCATTAAAAAAATCCAAATCCATCCTTCAACTTTTTAAAACACTGGCAGGGTTATTCACTAAAGTGTATTTGAAACTTGACAAATTCCCTAAATCTGCTTTACTTTCAGTTTGCAGTTTGGCTACTCTTGCCTTAAATTTGGAATTCACTTTGAATCCTCACTTTGGTTAATAACCATGTAGGTAATTTTGGGCTGCTTCTCAGGGCCGTCTAAAAACTTGCGCCCCCCCCCCCCAAAAAAAATATTCATTTGACATCTTTAACTGTACTTGGGTTTGAACTCCACTTTGGACATCAGCAATATTAACTATATACCAGGATTGGCTAAATGAACCACCTTGTCAAACATTTGTCGGGTTCTTTATAAGGGATTTTCCTTGTAAGAGGAGCATGAAAGCTGAGGGTGAATCCCAACTGGAGTGCAATATGTCTGCAACTCCCAGAAATTAAGGAGCAGTAGCAGCACAGGTGAGTGGAGCAGCAGCATTTTATGCAGAGGACCTTACATTTTGCGCTGGTATCCTCAGTAAAATCAACAAGGAGAAAAGATCTTCCAAAATAATGACCTTGTGAAATCTCCATTGCCTTCAACTGCTGATCCTCTGAGCTCCATGAATGACAAAAAGTGTGTGTGTGTGTGTTTGCATACACCTGGTCTCGACTCTCAGTGCCACAATCTTGCAGAGTGTTGCTGGTGCCTAGTTTAATCTCTCTGGTGATGTTGCCCCACATATGGCATGGAATTTTGTAACCTACCAGAAAAATATGGGAGAGTTAACCAGACCAATGCATCCAGAATAAATAAGCTGTTCGTTTTATTTGTTTTTAATTCTTCTAGCTCTCCTAGCTGCTTCAGCTTTGACTAGGGTGTTCAAGGACATTGTAACTGCTTCATCTTGTTGAAGTGGTTATAGTGTTTGTAATCCACTGGCACAATCCTTCCATTCAGTTTTATTGCTAGCAGTCATCTCCTATGGACTGACCGGCTAATGCGGAAGCACTGGCAGTATTACCGTGGTCGCAGGGGTTGCAGCTGCAACGCGGGCCATCATTCCAAGGTGCCCAGCTGCCCTGTCGACCCCTGGGACCGGGGTGCCCACCAGCATTTTGGTGCAGCCCCGACTGTGCGGTAAAACCTCCAAGGCCTCATTGAAGGAGCCCATCGGGTGGCCCCAAGAGCTCTTGGGGCCACCCGATGGCAATGGATTTACTGAGAACCTGTGAGCGCTGCGGCGCTTTTAGAGCGCGACCGGGCCCCAGTGATGTTAGAGCTGGGAGGAAGCAGTCACTTCCTCCCAGCCAACAGAGTGCCATGCAGGAGGAGAGGAGTGGGTTTTTTTTTTTTTCTAACAGTTTGTGTGTTTGTCTGGGTGTGTATCTGTTTGTACGCATTTATGGTGTGGGGGGGTAGAAGTATGGGGGGGGGGCATGGCAATTTTTGCAACGGGGCCCTGTGGTTTCTAGCTACGCCTCTGTGAGGAAATCTAGAATATAAATAAATCCCAAGCACACCAATGATTTTAGTACAAAGACCGTTTTTATTTCTTTTGAAGGGCTTAACAAAGTGCAAATGTACAAAGAAATGCCATCAAATGTACAAAGCTGCATGCATGGTAATAACGTGCTTACGACAAAATGCTTTTACCAAAAAAACAAAAGAAACAAAAAACATAAGATATCCTAAACTAGAGTTTGGAGACTAAAACTACCCCCAACGTTTTGGTCCTTGACCTTTTTTTTTTTTCAAGGGGGATCTCATAGTTAATGTTCCAAATTCCCAATTATATACCCAACACATGTAAATTTGTGTAAGTGAAAAAAGATATACAAGAAATAAAAAAAAAAAATGAGAGAAGCTAAACCATAATGAATACAAAAAAAAAAGTATATAATTAGAATGTGTCTACATATCCATGGAGTCGGGGGGAAATCAAATGCCGCCAGAGTTCATAGGTGTGGCGATGCCACGCGCATGTTACAACACAGAAGTGAATAGAAAATCGTGCCGGTGGATAGATGAAATAGGCAGCTGACACAGTTCCTCCCCACAGGTGTGTTTTGAACTTTTTTCACTTTACAAAATAGACATAAATTTGAGATCCCCCTTGAGACAGGTCAAGGAGAAAAATGTTGGGGTTGTTTTGGTCTTGGAGCTCTAGGTCAATATACCTTGTTTTATGTTCTTTGTAGTTTTTGTTTTTGTAAAAGCACTTGGTCTTAAGCACTTTATTGCCATGCATGTAGTTTTGTACATTTGATGGCATTTCTATGTACTTCTGTTTTGCACATTTGCACTTTCTTGTTAAGCCTATATCAAAAGAAATAAACTATCTTTGTGCTTAAATCATTAGTGTGCTTGGGGATTGTTTATATTCTAAGACTTATGTACCTGGTGAGGGAACATGTCTTTCCGTTTTAGCACCCTATTTGTTTATTTTTTTTGCATGCAACACCAAATTGACCCATACCATTTGCGCATTGACTATATTTTGTATTCATAATGAGGAAGCATAACCTGAGCAGTAGTGGACAGCTGTGATTGGTTGAATCTGTGAACTGACCGCTTTCAAGCCATCCCAGCATTACTAGTATGATTTGGTATGTCTAGAAGGAAGCTGTGATTTCTCTGCCTATGCCATACCGAAAATAAGGTACTCTGTTCACCTACAGTCTGGCCCCTATTTAGTGTTAAGCTGCCCAAAAATGGTTTAACTCTGAATGGAAGGACAGTGCCTGAGGACTCCAGGCACTGTAACCATTTCAAGGAGTTAAATAGTTATAGTGCCTGCAGTGTTCCTTTAAATAGAAATGTGACTGGTTTTATACATGTGGCTCTAGCAGAACTGTTTGTTACTCTGATAGTGCTAATGGCCTAGGCTTATCATCCTACTCTACTGTGTTGGCAGTGCAGTCCTCCTAGCACAAGTGCAATATTTAACAACCCTCATTAAGGAACTAGTAAGTGTAACTTTGTGATTCATTTGCTAAAATTAATTCACCATAGAATTTAATGTAGTAGTACCACCAGCATGAATATGGTGCATGCATTTGGGGATTTTGTCAGGAGTAAACTGGGACAAGGGAACAGTTTTTGGGTTGCTGCAGCAATCCTATCTAGAACAAGGGTGGTTTCTCCTAACCCTTTGCTGTTACACCTCATCTCAGAGAGTTGGGATTTAAAAAAAAAAAAAAAAGACAATCTGCTTCTAAATAATGCAAGCTCTTATTAATCTTCACTGTTACACCAATAAATATACCTGACCGTACTGCTAGACAAAGCGTATCTTGTTTGCGTTTTTATTTAAAAGTGGGCTAAACAGTGTGCCCCTTAATTCCCACTTTATCCTTCAAAAAACAGCCAAATTTGATACTGCTAGGAGACTGACATGTGGAGGTGCATGCTGGATCAAGGTTCCATTTCATGATACCTTAGTTTTCCCCTCCTATGACATTGCTGCCATATGTATAAATTTAAAATGTTGCTATGCTACAAAGTGAGCTTTAATTACACAAGTAGTTATAGAAACTGCAACACAATATGTTGCTAGATTCATAAAGGGTTAAACTATTCTCTACATTAACACTATTAAATCATGAACCCGATTTTATATGTGATATATTTGCTTTTTAAAGGGATTACCATCTGGGAAAATCCACCGGGAAACCTGTGAATTTATATGATCTACTAAAATTAAGTGAATATATATTTTTCTTAAATCAAACATAATTTGGGGAAGGTGTGTGTATATCTTTCCCTTTTTAACTCTATGCTTAGAAATACCCCAATCAGAGTTGCCTTAATTAGCTGTAGAATAGCTCATTAACAGGGTGAGGAAGGCACTGCTTCCAATACCTCTGTCATAGACTGTGACAAATATGGCAGACTCCAGACATTTGAAGAACTTTGCTTCAACTCTATGCATGTGGAATGTTCCTTTTTATAGCATTGTAGTACAGGGATCAACATGGAATAACTGAAAATGTAAAAGGGAGCTGGGATTATTTTTGGAGCAATACAGAGAATTCAGCTTGTAAGCATGCATTTATTTGAGGCAATTGTAAAAGATTTATCTTAATTTTTATTTATTTTTTTTATGTGCCAGTGTCCAAGGAAACTGTGATCTGGTCGGTCATCTTACATTCAGTGGTTGATTCTACACCCACTCTTACCCTTCCTTGTCCCTCTTTTTTTCCCAAATCATCTTTAAAATGGAAGTGTGTTCGTGTTGCTTTGCTAGGCCTTTATATCTCCTATTTATATTCAAGGACATAGTCTTTTGTACAAAACAATTGCACCGCTGTACTGCGAAGCCGAGCAGAATCTCCAATTACTGACATGGTGAAAGGATGAATAGAGAGCCTGTAATGTCTGCACACACTACAACAATAACAAATGATCAAGATTATTCATAGGTTAAATTCAACACAAATAATACAAATATTGTATAT